TTTTCTAATGCTAAAGAAAACGACATAGTACCCTGTTATATTTACTTAACATGTACTCAAATATTCTATGGATTATTCTTGTTGAACACGTCACCCTCTGTTCGAATAGGGCCGACGTGACCTTGTTTATGTAGCATCACTCATATTCTATTTACACTAGTGGGGATGAGCGGTACTTTTCAATCATCGATTGTTTGATGTTAATTGATTTGTTATCTTAAATTTTATATTTAGTTCATTTTTGTCTTTGAAACAAAATTCTTTAATTCTCATATTTATTTTTAATTACATATTCACGTAATAAAATATTTTGCACGTAAATTCAAAATTTGTCTCCTACTTTCTAACAATACATTCTCAAAAAAGTTACTATTCAAAACATTATTATTTTTTTTCTCAATAATGGCTATTGAACAAGGGCTTAAGTTGACTCAATTATCTATAAAGACATGCAAATTGAGTTAATTAATGAATTTGACGGAATATGACTTTAGGAATTGAACTTGAGAGACAAGATTGAATGTGATAATCGTGATGTTATCGTGTGAATTACAGTACTTTAACCGTCGTAGTAGTTTATCATCTATTAAAAAAAATAACTTTCTTATAATTGCTTTTACTTTCCTCGGTTAATACTAATCATAATCAAAACCTTGTCATCTTCATTCACTGTATTCAAACAACGTTAGTAGTTAGATTAATTATTAAATAAATAGTTATCATGAGAACGATAATTTAGACTCTTTAGGGCCAATTTACTACTTTTTTTCATTGTACACTCGTGATTATCACGAAACAGAAAAAAATAATTAGGATTTCAAAGACTTTCATTTATAGTACTGAGCATGTAGCTTTCAAAGAACAAAGTAATCGTTTGTAGGGAGTAAAAGAAACGATGATCTTAAGATGGACATATGGTCATAATAAGATGAGAATTAAAAATATATGTCAACAAGTGAACATAACATTTGATTGAGGATAAATTATGGGAATGTTGACTTGGATAGATGAAACATGTTTTGGGTAAAGTGACCATTGTTGATAAAGAGTAACAATCCCACGTTATTGGGAAAAATGTTGAGTTTGTTGCTAGTAAAGTCGAACTCTAAAGTAAATCTTCTCTGAAGATGCATGTTTGGTATGCTTAAGTAGACAAATTTGAATATTAATATCTGTCAAGCATACCAAATGTTTGCTAAATATATTAGAGCAGATAGCCATAACTCATCTAACTCAACTGATTTTTTTCTATCAGCAATGTGCTTACTCAGTTACCATCAACGGATCAACCCATGACAATTTTGCTTCAAAGGTTTTCCTATCAAGATATTGTGGAATTATTTTGTCTAAAAGCTTAAATTATTAATAACGCGACTTACTTAACTCATGTTTTGAATATATTATGTGTTGTTATTCGTGAGGGTAGACAAGAGGTCATGAAGAGGGATCCCTATGAGTGGCGGAACAGGTTTGCTACTACAAATCATAAGGAACAACCATAAAATTTCAGTAATATCAATCACTTAGAAGAATACAATAATGGAGATTTTTTGGCAATTACTGATGGTGACTCCAAACATGACGATGATTAAATTCTTGATATCTATTGGTTAATTACTTCATTAATCTGGTTTATTTCACAAGGTGGGAGTCCTCAGTGGCACGTTTAACACTAGATTGGACTAGATAATGAATTTTGTCACTCTACTCTCCTTTGTAATCCCATTCAATTAGCTCTAGTTCAACATGAACCTTTGCAAGTTAATACATGCAATGAGCAAACAAAACTGAGGAAAAACTAAAGGAAAGTGATCTATTGATTTCTAACCGGGAAGACTATATAATTGAAAAGGTTCGACCCAGAATAATGCCTTATTAATCGTATTGATATACTGGCAATCCAACTAGTGTAAGAACAGGTTCACAAATATGGCATATCGTATTGATGACTGCAATCCAATCAGTGTAAGAAGTAAGAACAGGTTCACAAATATGGCATATCAATGTCTTTTCTTGCATTTTTGGCCTTAGCCTCCAGTTCTCTTATATCCGGTTATGCCCTTTTCATCTCCAAATCAATGTAACTTCAACGTATGGGCTTCATTTTTGTCTCTACAGTTATTGATTTTGTGAAGTAAAAGAGTTGCTGATGAAAGTTGTAGAAACGGTTGATTTATTGAGATTTTGTTTGGAGAATTTGATATAAAAACATAGAACTTTGATTTTAAGAAATTGAATATGCGATGTATACTAATTGTGTGATCAAACGTGTTGCATATTAGATTTTTTATCGTGAAATTTTTGGTCAACTTATAGTGTGAATAAATTCAATATGTGAACTGATAGTCGATTCAAGAATGATGCCCCAAGTTAATTTGAATATTCTCTAATATTATGTTGTTGATCATACCGATCTTCTACATTCAGGGACGGATTTAGGGGGGGCTGAGGGGCTACAGCCCCCCCCCCCCCCCCCCCCCCCCCACCCCCCCCCCAAAATTTTTTTTTTTACTTGAGAAAAAAAAAATATATGATCCGTCCCTATCTACATTCTTATTGATTGGTTATGCTGCTAGGGGATTCTTGAGATTTTATAATGGTAATTCCACTATATTGTGAGCTTCTTTTTTCGTTGATGGCTTAGTACCCTTGCTCGTGTGTCTCATCTTATATGTACACGTTTGCCCGATTCTTGCATGGTTCGATCATCTCATCTACGAGTCGATAGTGCATGTAGAATTATTCTATCTGAATTCTCCACGCAATACTCGTTAGAAGATAACGTTTCAAATGTAAATATGGACATCCAATTCGATTGAACAACCCCCTTTATTTTATTGACATGTGCCCATGGTAAAATTAACGGACCATGCTACAAGTACATAATCATTTACATAATACATTACATAATTGGCATGTGGCGCGCATCCATCGGTAATCTATAATTTTTGACTTTTTTACACTTCTCATCCACGATCGAATTTCTTCCACATAGGCCTATGTATTCCATTATGTACAATAATTATGTACATATAGACTTATTCAAAATTAACTTGAAGCAATCTAAGAATTTCTTAAACTTTCAAACTTACAAGTTAAAGACTTTCTTTCTTTCTTTTCTTTTATTTCAATTGACTTCAAGTTTTATTGGTCACAAATTGAACATCTGTCCATTCCAGCTCATTATCAAGAAACTGTCCCTTAAAATAAAATCTTCAACTTCATAAAAAAGGCACAAGTTTCTAAGCTTCCCTGTTTTCTCACTAGCCTCCATTTCAAGTAATAATATTCTGATGTGATAACCCCTCTGATAAAACCCAATCATAAAAAGCCACGTCAACCAAAACAGTAATCTTTGCCACGTGGAGGACTATAACTTGATGGCATTCGACAAAGTCAAGGTTGCCCTTCCCGGAAGATTAACTGCAATTCTGTTTACTTTGAGAGCGCGACAAGTCTAATGTTTGACTATTGGTCCTCAATCTGTTATTTGACTAAGTAGTTGATCCTTAAATTTTAAAAATGAATAAATTAATCATCAACATTTTTGTACAGTTATATATCTCACACAATATTTATTTTTCTTCAGGATCTTGACTAAATCGTTATATGGAAATCATCAAAATTTATGGACTTGAATTCTTTACCGAACTTGAGTCCATGGTCAAAAGTGAGGCATTTTTTTTCACGGGCGTGAATCGCGTGATCATATTAATCAACCCATTGAGGACCCGTGTGCAACTATAATAAAAAGTTGATGACTAACTAACTATCTTTTAATTGTTAAGGACCAGCTTATTACTTAAAACAATAGGTTGAGGGGAACAGTACAATTATGATGTAAAAATTACGAATTATTACGTATTGTGAATTAAATAATCGGTAATTAAAACATGAAATTAATCAGTTTTTTTAGCTGTTGCTTTAAAAGAAGGTAAATTTGCAACATTTCAGAGGCTGCAACCAGTGGTGACATTGGTGGCAGATGATGAGTCCTATTCATACTTCAACATTTCAACCTCCACCTATACATACACACAATATATACACAGCATAACACTTACATTTTATCTACTTATTATCTGGGTTTTCACTTATTTTGTTCAGAAATTAATTTTTTGTGCTTATTCTTATTGTCCCTTCATCTTCTCATATTGTGGTGAAGATTTTTTCTTGGAGGATAATCAATCAAGGTACCCTCTCTCATATTGTTTCTTTTTACAGTTATTATTTTAATGGTTACGGTCAGTTTCGTATGAAGGATTCAATGGTATAATACATGAAATTTTATTCAGTTTCGTTTTGTTGGGTGGTAATAGAAGATTTTGTATTACAGTGAACAAGATTTGAACCCTTTTTTTTTCATAGTATTGTCTAGTATTCTAGACAGTGCCGGGTTCCGTGATTTTGGGGCTGAAGCAAATTTCATAAATGGTAGAATGCATGCAAAATCTACACGTGTATTATGGATTCAATATTTAACTTGTTAATTTAAATACTTTAACAATAAAATAACAAATAAAATGTATTATACAAAAGATTTATATTATAATTAAATAACAAAGTCGACAATTTTCCAAACATTTTATCAACAAAAAAAGGGAAGAATGAAATAGGCTAAAATCTAAGGCGCCCTCCAATGTTGGGCCCGAGGCGTGAGCCTTACTCACCTCTATGCAAAACCGGCCCTGATTCTAGATACCACCTTATCATAAAAGATATAAGTTGACATTATGAAATAATGGTAATTTGTTAGTTAATAGTTTTTAGATGAGGCGGTTCAATAACTGTTACTTATGTTATTGGTTGATTGGTCATGATGATTAAGTTGTCACTTCTTTAGTGTTTCATTTATAATGAAAAGTTGTAAATTATGATTGTTATAATGTGTATAATCTGTGGAAAAAATAGCTAAACAATATTAATCTGCTTTGATTCATAAGCAGTGGTAGTACATCGTGTTTGCTCTCTTCAAGCGGATCAAGAAAGTCGAGTTCTCAATGCCTGGGTATGTCATGGACAGATCAAATGGTGAAAAGGAACAAAGTGAACAGTATGCAATGGAGAATGAAGTCTTTGACCATACTTCTCCGAGAAGTCCCTCAAGTACACGAAGTACTGAGAGTGACTCTATCGATCTAGCTATAGAACAGGTCGTTGACACTTCTATTGAGCAACTTTATCACAATGTATGCGATATGCAGAGCTCTGACCTATCTACATCGAGGCGTAGTTTTTTATCCTATGGTGAAGAGTCGAGGATTGATTCTGAATTGCGGTATCTTGCTGGAGACTATTGCTGGGATGTGGAGGTTAAAGACGATGTAGTAACCGATAAAATTCAAGGAGATCGTGTTTTTGAAGAAGAAAAAGGATCTCGGGATGAAAAGATTGGGGAGATGAATAAGATCCATCCTGCAAGTGTTATGTCTATTTCTTCGACAGGAGCATATGAAGCATCTCCCAAGCCTAGTTTGAGTAGCAAATCTTTAATGAATAGACCTCCAAATGGGAAGCGAAATATGAAAACTTCGAGGAAGTTAAATTCAGTTTCTTCCATGAAAAGCGAGTGGAATTCTCGTTCATTGGGATTGAAGATGCAGAATGGAAGTGAGGATCCTTCTGAGGTAGGATATCTCGGCCCGTATCTACTTAAACAGGCTAGGGAATTGATTGCATCTGGGGATAAGCCTCAAAAAGCTCTCGATTTGGCTCTTCGAGCGATGAAGTCATTCGAGATTTCTGCAAATGCCAAGCCTAATCTAGAGTTTGTAATGTGTATGCATATCGTAGCAGCATTATACTGCAGGCTAGGCAAGCACGCTGCAGCAATTCCTGTTCTTGAGAGATCAGTCGAAATTCCCGATATGGATTTAGGCCAGAATCATGCACTCGCTAAATTTGCGGGGTGCATGCAATTAGGTGATACCTATGCAATGCTGGGGCAGATGGAGAACTCCATACTTTGTTACACGGCCGGTTTGGAAATTCAACGCCAAGTTCTAGGGGAAAAAGACCCTCGATTTGGTGACAGTTGTCGATATTTAGCCGAAGCCCATGTTCAGGCAATGCAATTTGACGAGGCTGAGAAGCTTTGTTTAATGGCTCTCGATATACATAAAGAAAATGGCATATCAGCGTCTCTTGAGGAAGCTGCTGATAGGAGACTTTTGGGACTTATCTGTGAATCCAAAGGAGACTATGAAGGTGCTCTTGAGCATTATGTTTTGGCAAGTATGGCTATGGCTGCTAATGGACAGAATGCTAATGTGGCAGCCATCGACTGCAACATAGGCGATGCATATTTATCGTTAGCAAAATACGATGAGGCGATATTTTCTTATCAGAAGGCGCTAAATATGTTTAAGTCCATAAAAGGAGAGAATCATCCTTTAGTTGCTTCAGTGTTCGTCCGCTTGGCTGATTTGTACAAGAAGATAGGAAAATTCAGTGAATCAAAATCGTATACCAAAAGCGCGCTTCGCATTTATTCTAAGCCCTTCCCGGGATATCCTGCAGAGGAGATAGCTAGTGGCCTAGTTGATATATCGGCTATCTATGAATCAATGAATGAACCTCATCGCGCTCTGAAATTACTTCAGAAGGCCATAAAAGTGTACGGCAATTTACCAGGTCAACAAAGCACAATTGCAGGAATTGAAGCCCAAATGGGAGTATTGTACTATGTTTTAGGGAGTTATTCGGATTCTTATAATGCATTCAAGAACGCAGTGTCCAAGTTTCGTGCAATCGGAGAAAAGAAATCTGCCCTTTTTGGGATTGCTCTGAACCAAATGGGACTCGCCTGTGTGGAACTTTATTCTATAAACGAGGCTGCTGATTTGTTTGAGGAGGCTCGGAACATTTTGGAGACTGAATACGGACCGTATCATGCCGATACGTTAGGAGTCTATAGCAATCTTGCAGGCACCTATGATGCAATGGGCAGGTAAACTCTTGCTTTCTAATCCTATACAAGCATATTCAATACGAAGTATGGACAAGACTCGACAATATTAGATGAGAAAAAGAAGTTGAAATCCTTTCTTTTTTATTGTCTAGTCCTATCCATTACTATTTACCAGACATGCTATGGCTATTTGACTAATCGACCATCGAGGCATATATCTCCTCAGGACTGCTGATGCAATTGAAATTTTGGAATATGTTGTGGAGATGAGAGAAGAGATACTTGGAACAGCAAATCCAGATGTGGATGATGAAAAGCAAAGATTATCACAGTTATTAAAAGATGCAGGAACTGTCAGGAACAGAAAATCAAAATCCCTGAAGACATTGTTTGTTAATAACTCTTATAACATTATGGTATCATGAGTTCGCATATAATTTTTTCTGTTCGTTTTTGGATTATTTTGATAAAAAAATAAAAATAAAAACGCTTTGGATTTTCCTTTATCAGATTTTGCTGCTGCAGTTGATGGCATTCCTCTGTCATTGGTCCTTTGTATGTCTTCTGGTTTAATAAAATGCTGAAAGAATTGCATTTTCTTTTGTTGTTTTAGCAACTTTTGATTAAGACTGCGAACCTACATCTCTGATGTGGAGACACTGGCTTAACTGATGTGGATGGCAACGTAAGACTTATTTTCAATAAATTTGAGAGCCAGAATCAGCCTCTTTAGCAAACAAGCAAGGGCTTGATCTGTTGCTCTACGACCACCGTTGCGCTAACGCCGTTTTCTTGCTCCGTACCGTCTATCCACATTCTGACTATGCTAAGGTAGAGATGGGAATAACTGGCTCTGTCTTCTTCTTTCCTTCTGTGAATCGATAGGGTCTGACTGGCTTATTAAGAAATATGCGGGTCTTATTAGCTAAGCGTTGGTAGAGCAGGACTACTTGAAGATAGAGACGATAACTAAATAATACAATTGTTGCTAGACCAGACCAGATCACTTGTTGTTTTACCGCTGAAGTCACTTTAGTGGTGAGGCTGTGGAGACAGTGCATCCTTAGGTTCAAATCCNGAACAATATGGAATCAAGAAAGAAAGACAACACAATATTTAAGAGGTTCGACAGTAGGCGTACGTCCACAGGAGCGAAGCGGTTATGATTTTGTGAATAATAGGGTTTACACACACACAAACCGTAGCCCTTACAAGATTTGAGGAAAAAAACCCAAAAATAACCATATACTTCATCGGCCTATTCACTGAAGTATACATGCGTTCCATTCTATATAAACTACATATTACAACACTAAAACATGCAACCCTTTTCCACTCATGTTACCGAGCCTCTTATGCCATAGCTCAGGAGACGAATCTTCAAATGCATTCAACAAGCAATCCCTCTTAACAAAAACCAAAGAGCCATTTAGCAATTTCCATTTCATATTGCCGAGTTGTTGTGCATTGGTCAAGAGCATTAAGAGGTGCTACAAGTACATCGGGGTGTACATAAGGGTGTTCATAATGGACACCCTTATGTACCCCCTAATGTTCAAGTAGCATTTTCCTATCAAGAATATGCCTCGCAGCTGTCAAAATCAAGGTGCAACTAACTGCTGTTTGCAATGTATATCAATAATCCCTATAATCTTAGATTGACCTGTATTTCTTATCTTCATAATGCCAAAATCTCCCAACTGTCTAGCAAAGAACTAAAAAGCAACAAAATTATGTAATTCGTCTACAAGTTATATCCATAGTTGCTAGCTAGTTTACAATATTCATAGGATCATTTGACATGACTTTTGCTTTTACTTTCTGTAGAAGAGTTTTTTGAGAAAACTACTTTAAATTTTGTTTGAAAACTAATTTTTAAATACACTTCATCTTTTAGAATTGCTTTTAAAGAAAATCACATTGAACCAACTTTCTCTAAAAATTCTTCTAATTAGAAAAAACACTTTCATAAATAAGCCAAGCGGTCAAAAAACTACTTTGGAATCTCAAAAGCTCGTTTCGACTTTTTAAAAGCTATGTCAAGCGGGCAATAAGCATGTCTTCTTTGCATTTCATATTGAACAAGTCTTTAATTAAAAAGGGCTTCTTGGATATAGTTTTCTTCTTAACCATCAACTCAATTTCAATTACAATTCATAAGCATTAGTCTCTTTACTACATGATGAAAAACACAGTTATCCACCCACTGAGTGATAGTTTTGATAGTCTTTTTGTTACGAGCAGACCACTTCTTGTCTGAAATGCCTTTCAATTTAGCCTATTACCCTAGATCGTGAAAAATCCTTACAATATAAGATCATGAATAGTCCTTTCTTGCCGGATGAATTTACCACCTTGACTGACATGTATTCGTGACATTGAATGATTGATGAAAAAACTGTTTGTAATTTTAGACTGGCCAATGATAAATTAAATAAGTGGCTTCATCAATTTTAAACTGGCAAAATAAATTTATTATATTATAATTTTCAGATGATCATATTTATCTTAATATGAATTTGTGACGTTAAAAAAATATTGTGGCACTCTTTTAATCAACTTCTACAAATATTACAAGATAATGATTGACCTTTTCTTTGTGCTGGGTAACTATTATGCGTGGGATTGTGTGTTTTCTTTGAGGGAAATGAACCCCATATATAAGCTATGGTGATTTTTATTTTTTACTTTGGTCACTGGTGTCGTGCAGCGGTGGCTCTATCAGGTTGTGATCGGTCGATGAAGGTTGTTGCGGTGGTGTGATGGTGTGATGGTGGCCTATAGTCTAGTCTATCGAATCCCCCTCCTATTGGTGGATTGGGGTGGCATCGCAGACATTGGGGAACAAACCAACTTGGTGGCAATGATGACTATTTAACTTGACTTAATTACTTCATCACGTTCCCCATTACTTGTGTCCTACATCCCAACCTTAGCTCGACTTCCTTATCTTACCCCGACAATTCGAAGCCATACTCGTATAAGTTTTCTTAGTGCTCGCACTTACTTTGAGTTGGGATGGCTACATAGTTGTATTCAAATTATGTCGAGGAACCAATCCCAACAATTAGTCTTGAATAACTCCAAAATGAAACTACAATTTTGCTTCACGATTAGGAATGAATAATTCAATATGAACCATCGAGTTTTGGCACTAATAATATGCAACATTATTCTCTCACTCACGACTTCGCCTAAACAAATTAAAATACTCGTCGCACGCAGCACCTCTGTTCATGCCATTTCTTCTAGTTTCTCTTCCTTATCCATTCGACAACGAACTCACCACCGCGGCAGCCTTTTCTCCTCTCTATCTATTTGCAATCCGTCTTGCAACACTAAGTTCATTCAGCACATGCGTGCGAGCAAACGCGCCACCTGCTCTTTTTTTCTTTTCTTTTTTCATCTCTTTTGCCGCGTGCATCTGATCTCAAGGTGCATGATTATTCATAGGATTTAAACACCTACCCACCGAGGAAAGTTGTCTTTTTTCTCCATAATTTATTACCTTTTCTAATTCTTCACTGTGCCAAAATCTGATGCTGATGAAAACAATTTCAATACCAAGGAAATTAATTCTCCAGGAAAATAAGACATGTTTGCTGATTCTCCAAGGATCCCGTGTGGATCCCTGCTTGAAAACCTTTATCACTAGATCGTCGGTCGGTCGATGTGACTAAGATATTTAATAAAAATTGGCAAAAATAATGTTTTTGACATTTCGTGGGCATTCATTTTAAAAGTGATATGTCATTTCAAAGTTAGCTGTCACGAGAATAGTTCACACACTGCAAAAGCGTCCATTTTTGTTGGCTTCAAGTTGTCATTTGTTAGATACGGACATACAAACAAATGGACACAAGGAACATAGGACAGGACGATGAATCTTATTATTACAACACAGAAATGGAAATGGTGGCATATTTATTTATTTTTACTCAAACTGTGAATCAAAATATAATTGTTGAAAGTTACCAGTTCAACCTTAAAATTATTTAATAGGTGAATAATGCAGAATTCAATTTATCAATTAAAAGCAACAAGTCACTTTTAAATTGTTCTATATGTTTAGTCAATCAAGTCAAATTATCTTATGTTCAATTGATGCAATAAATAATTAAAGCAGTAAATAACACAAAATTTGATAATAAAGAAAACCTTTAATTGGGTAAAAACTTCTCGACCAAGCCAGTAGTTTTCACTATAGACAATAAGAACTTACAGTATGATCCAGCTTAAAAAATTCACTAGACTCGTTGATCTAATTCCTGCAATCTCCAAGATCTTCTGGAGTGTGCTTCACTCACACCTGCTCGCGATCTTCTAGAATTGTCTATCTCCAGTGGAACACTAAAAACGTCTCGTTCTTGTACTCTTGTTGTGCTTCTAATTCAACCTCCCTCAATTTTCAACGACTTTTGAAAGTTATTGAGAAAGTATATTTCTGATTATATCTAGGAAGTGAGTGTTTTGGATTATAAGAATTCGATGTTTTTTTCCAAACTTGTGTCTGATTGTTCTCAAGAATCGAATGGTTATTTTAAATATTTGGATGTGTTCTTGGATATTGAAATAATGTTATAGGGATGTAAAACAATGATCAACCATACCCAAAATCGTAATGACTATTGGATATTTATAAAAGGAGGTGTCTAGCTAGTATATGATAGTTAAAACTTTTGAAAAACGCAAACTAGAGTTTTTTGAAAAATACCGTCGCTCAAGCGCTAGGCTAGTGACAAGCGAGCAAAAGGTGAGTCGCTCGAGCGAGAGTCGGGAGATAATGGTTCTGCTTTGGACGCTTGAGCATCAGCTAGGCGACGACTAGCGTAAATCCGACGACTCTTTCTTCTTATTCCATACTCGAACTCAAATACTCCCAATTTATATATACAACCCTCCAAGAGACTCATTGCCTTTTACAATTATTTTGTAACAATTCTATTTTTTTACATTAATCATTTTGTCTAAAAAATTGTCAATACAACTAAAAACTAACCATTATCAATTCAAAGAAGATATCATTGTTATTTTTGAAGAGTATGTATTGAATTTGGAGTTTTATTTCAAAAAACTAACCTTTCTAAGAGATATACTTTTCAGGAGTAGTTGTGAGATAATATTTGTCAAAGAATATATCTCACATTGGCTAATTATCAAAATATAAAAGTTTGAACTATTTCTCCTGAAAAAGAACCACTAAGATGTACACAACTCTTAATATGGTATCAAATCTCATTTCGATTAAGACTAAAAAATGAGCATACAAATTTCAAAACTTGTCATTTCCAATGAGTTATCATCTTATAGGGACATGTTAAAGGGGATAAATTTTACATAGATAAATTATAGAACAATATATAAAGGTTTACGCTATTCCACTTAAAAATATTGATCTTTTAATATTAGACTCCAAATTTTGATGTCATGTGGTTCCAACAAAATGTTTTATTTTAAACAATAAATTCTTTTAAATGCCACAAAAGCTCTACGTCGCTGGAACTAGCATTTGGAATTTTTACTCATCAAAACACCAGCAAAAACATTCACGAGAAGGCTTGCACATTTCTTCCATAAATTTGCTTTGAAGGCTTGCACATTTCTTCCATAAATAAGCATTTGATTTTGCTATTTACTTAAAAAAAAAAAAGGGAAAATAAATAAACATTACGAGAAAAAAAAACAGCGAATTCTAGAAGGCTGGAAAACTCCTGCCTAATCCTCCTACTAGATCTTGCCTGTACGGTAAATACGATTTCTTCTTATCACCTTCCTTTATTGTTCTGTTAAGTACATAAAATATTTCATGAGGTGATTTAGCCGCCGATTTCTCGCCGGAGATGACTCGCTTCGCCTTTGAATTTTTGGAATTTTCAATTGCTTTTGATTTTTCTTCTTTGTGTTTCGGTGTTAAAAAGACGAAAGAGTCCTTGCCATCGCTGTTGCACCGGCGGAGCAAATCGAGAAATTTCCACCGCTTCGATGCCGATCCGGTGGACTTGCTCTTTTTACATTGACTCGGCGAGGCCTCGGAGACTTTAGGCCTCCATACGCAGTACGTTCCCGGAGGTATAGTCTCCAATTCATCGGCTTCCGATGAGGATGATGAAGGATACTCATTCTCGCGATTTTCCATAAATAACTTCTTCAAAGGAATTCTAATACTCTCCACTCCTTCATCAGATGAACTTTTTCCAAAATATTCATATTTAACCGAAAGATCGTGGTTAAATACGGGAAAAACTTGCTTGATTTGGCCGTCATAGAAGAGCTCCTCGGCCGAAAACCCTTGATTTTCACCTACCAAAGCAAATTCAAAATCATCATCGTAGTTATTGTCTGCATCGTTCTCATCTTCTACAGCGTCGTTTGTGTTAATTCCGGTAACTTTTGCAGCAATTTCTGCAATTCCATCTGTCGAATAGCTGTTGAAACTCAGGCAAACGCAGAGCTCCTCTTCACCATCGGCCATTTCCCCGTTCTATGTATATATATTTTTATATGTAACTGTAAGCATCCACGTATACAGAGAGAAGTGGAGAAGGCGAGAGGGTTTTTCTTCACTGGGGAGACGAGGAGCATGTGGGGGAAGGAGGGGGCTTATATATACGTCAATGGCTGATTTCTCCTGTGAGAGAAATATTAGACGGCTTAATTGACTGTCGTTAGTTATACAAAACTTATTTGACGGTCGTTAGTTGTAGGAGCCTGCGATTCACACAATTTACGCGGTAATTTCCCACGTCAGTTTCTAGAATTAATTTAGGTTCACACGTAAGTTTCAAGAGTTAATTTAGTACATGTTTGGTCCACATTAAAATTTTCATTCTCATTCTTCTACTCATTTTCAACCACACATTTTTCATCATATCAATAATTTTTCTTTCTTTTTCAATCACTCATTCTCCATTAATCTACGATGAGAAACTCTTTTAAAAATTAATTTCAAACGAAAAAAAAACTCTTTTACAATAAGTCAAATCCAAAGCAAAAGGCACGTAAAACGGCGCCGAATTGATGAATTATTGATAAAAAAAAATGTTACTTTAAATGTATATTTTCTTATATAAAGTTAAAATGACTATAAAGTCTTGTTTAAATCTAGGATTAAAGTAACGTTAAAAGTTAAAACAACGGGAAAATATGGCCTCATCTTTTAAAAATGAGGAAAAAAAAGGTCTAAAAGCTGAGATTTTATCAAAATATCACATACAAAAAGTCAAAATAAAAATTATTAGAGTGGCTGTAGAATGACAGGAAACAATTGAAACTTTACACTATTGGAATTT